CTCAGACAAAAAACCTCTACCTGCCCCACAAACTTTTCCCGCCATACGAGCCCAACTACCCACCTGACCTCGCCTCACCCTATAAAACCCTGCTTCCCCCTAACAACGTGCGCAGCTTCACTGACCCCCACCTTGGGTGCGTGAGGTCCGCCGGGGGCGCAATAAACTTTCCCTCCCTTTGAGAAATGTAGCCTGGCTCTCCTTTTCTTTACCGGGCCGAACCTTTCAGAAATGATAAGCAAAGATTTAATATTGTCATATACATTCAATTCCTAGTTGATAAGACAATTAATATTACAGGAAATTAAGAAGACAGATATGAATAGGCAATGGAAATGTATGTGGTCCCTAAACAAATGCAAAGATGTTCAGTCTAACAGCCAGGTAAATAGTCTTCCCTCAAAGGATTTGCAATAATTTGCAATGCTGGGAATGATTAGTACTGGTGAAATTATAAAGAAATGAGTACTCTCATACTTAGCAGGTGAGTATGCAAAATAAAGTAACTTTGTACAATAACCTTAATGTAAACTTTAAAGTTTTAGATCTGTGTACACTTTCTGACAGTAATTCTACTGTTGGAAATCTTTCTACTAAAATAAAAATACCAACATAAAAGAATATCTTCGCAAGTACCAATACAACTAAATTCAATTGCAAATTATTTTCAGGAGAGTAAAAACACAAACAGGTTGACTGGCTATCAATAGGGATATTTTTATTTTAAAAAAATACATTCATACTATGGAATAGTAAGTCTCTATGTACAAGTGTATGAGCATTGAAAAATCACACACACACACACACACACACACATTTTGTGTAAATCAAAAGTGAGAAGAAATTTGTCAGTTAACACCAGTGAACTTAATGTTTGGAATCAAGGTGGATGGAAAATAAAGATTTCTACTTATAAACCTCTGTGTTTCACTTGTTTCAACTAGTACAGCTTAGTGATATTAATAGTAACGCAAAAGATAGCAGGTAACATTTAATGAGCATTAACCACATTGTAACAGAGATTATGCAAGGAATTTTTTTTAAAGATTTATTTATTTATGCATACAAGAGCTGGGGTATAGGCCAGAGATGTGGGGGGTGAGAGGATTCACCAGAGACAGAGTGGGGAACAGAACAGGCAGACTGACTGAAATACACTGCTGAAATACACTGCTGAAGGGAGCAGCAGGGGAGACAGGAGAGTTCTGCTGCCCCATGTGGGTTGCTCTCTGGCCGGCGGGGGATGGAACTCTGTGCTGCAGAGGCTGTGGACTGCTTCATGGTGCAGTGCTTAACCCCTTGTGCCACCAGGGAGGCCCCCCAATCCGAGGAGTTTTTAATCTCATTAGATTCTTGAAACAAATTCATGAAGTGGCAATATTATCATCATCAACATTTTATAGATGAAAATGAGACTCAGAGGATTTAAAGTGACTTGCCCAAAGCTATACATTTAGTAATAGGCAGGCCAGAATTTAAATCAACTAGTTTGATTTCAGTGCTTTGGAAAGTTAAAATTGCAAATACAACCAACATTTATATTTTCATGGTGTTTAATCATCAATTTTATATAATCTTAAGAAAATTAATTTATATCTAATTGCCATATTGACTAAATCTCTTGCGGCAACAAAGAGCCTCATTATATTCCTTTGCACATATAAATTGATATAAAACATTGAATAAATGTTTATGTGATGTTCGATGTTCTATTAACTACCAATGACTACTAATTGTGTTCTAGTAATTAACAATAATTGTAACTGCGTTAAAGTCATAAGCTTTGCTCAGTTAAAATTATGAATCAAATGTTCTGAATTTGTACATGAACAATCCATGAAAGGGCCAAGGAATTGTGACGGTACCAACCATTGCTGGAGAAATGCAGACAGTCTGAGGCTCTGTCTTTATTCTCTATTTGAGAAGGTCATTTATAAATATTATTTATTTATATTTATATTTCATTTATTTATAACTATTAAGAGGTCATCTCTTACTATTTCCATGTGAGTGTTCTATATTCAGTTCCCAATTACATTACTTAAGTTTCTAAAACTTTCTCTATGTCCTGAAAAAATTACTGTTGTCACTGAAGGAACTTATTTTTTAATGTAATTTTGTAAACTACTAGGGTTTTATTACAATACAGGCTATACATGGTGTCCAGATGTAATAATGAAGCTAGTTGGGCCTTTCTGGTGGCGAAAGGGGTTAAGACGCAACTTATGAAGCTATCCGCAGCCACTGCAGCACCCAAGTTCTATCCCTGGCCCACCAGGGAGAAACCCACATGGTTAAGCAGACCTCTCCCGTCTCGCCTGCCACTCCCCTCAGCAGTGTATTTCAGTCAGTCTGCCTGATCTGCTCCCCACTCTGTCTCTGGTGAATCCCCACACCTCTGGCCTGTACCCCAGTTCTTATATGCATAAATAAATAAATCTTTAGGGAAAAAAATGAAGCTTGTTGTTCTATCAAAATATGCTCACTGAGCTTGTATATGATTCCTGATTACACTCTCAGTTAATTCACTGTGGAGCCGAGGTGGATGTTGCATTTTGACCTTTCTCTGGCTTGTAGCCTCGCAATACCTTTTTACCTTGTGCTTCCCAAAGACAAAAGGGAAGCAGTTTAACACATTTCAGCAAGTTGCTCCCTGATGATGCTCAAAAACAGTTTCTTTTAGTCATTTAAGTCATCTGACGTGTCCAGGCTTCAGTTTCCTCAGCTGTATTATAAAGTTTCCTTTGGAGCTACTTCTTTTACATTCATCCAAATGCTTATGTACTAAAGTATTACTAAATGTAACTAAATGCACTATAGGGGGATTAATGCCCTGAACTTTGCTCTCAAAGGACTTCAACTGGGGGGAGGGGAGGAGTCGTGATTTTAGTATAATTATATGTAGCATTCAAGACTTGTTGACTGAATTAATAGTTAGTTGAGAAATGCTAGGTCCTTCCTAGAAAGTCGTGGTGACCAGCAGAAATTTTATATCTAAAAAAGAGACCTGTGAAAAGTCCCAGCATCATTTATCCAAATGTAGGCTAAGAATTGATTTAGGTGTACAGAGCAGTGCATGGGAAAGCTACCTGAGTATTACATTTGCTCTGCACTACTAAAAAATAGGAACTTTCCGGGCCTCCCTGGTGGCACAAGGGGTTAAGTACTGCACCATGAAGCAGTCTGTTGCCTCTGCAGCTCGAGTTCGATACCCCCAGCTGTCCAGGGAGCAACCCACATGGCGCAGCAGACCTCTCCTGACTCGCCTGCTGCTCCCCTCAGCAGTGTACTTCTGTCAGTCTGCCTGTTCTGTTCCCCACTCTGTCTCTGGTGAATCCTCTCACCCCCCACACCTCTGGCCTGTACCCCAGCTCTAGCATGTATAAATATCTTTTAAAACTATATATATGAAATTTCCACTCCAGAGATGGGAGGAAGGAAAATAGTCCATAGGATACTGGTTTTGAAACAAAGGATTGTAACTAAAATCCTTTAAGGGGAAGGGGAGGGGAGGGAGTACTATCTGTAGATAAACTAAAGCTCTTCCTTAAGTTATGATGGGGGTATGCTGGCAGTGTACCAGCCGAGTGATCATTATGTTACAAGGCAGTGAGGGGCACCCCAGAACCCCCAAACCTATCTGCTCTAAAGAGGTTCTGCCATCCACCGCATCAAGGCAAAACATGTAAGACCTTTCATGGAAAGGAACTTTAATACAATTAGTGTGCAATACAGAAAAGACAAAGAATATAGTTTCTAAATCAAGCATCCAATGTTCTCCATCGACAGGATTGGCCCAGAGCAAGGCCCCAAAGCCTGCCACAAGTCTAAAGCACGTTCCAGCAGGGACCCAGAGAAAAGGGTCATAAACAGCCAGACAAGTCTGGGAGAAAAAGAGCAAAATCAGCCAGAAACAACATAAAATGGAAGCTCCTCCGTGGGAAAACAGGCCTTGGATTTGAAGCGAGGGGCCTGAGCGAGGAGGCGAGCAAAGAAAAGAAAAGCGAGGGGCTGCCCCAAGTCGCCCGGTTCATTCAAACCCTGAGGACAGCAAACCCCGCCTCCCCACGCCGCCGCCCGCTCAATCGCCGCGCGCTCCGGGTGTGAGCTCGCCCCGCGGGGAGCGGCTTGGAACCGAGGAGGCGGTGGCAGCGGTGGTTTGGGCAGCCCCGAGCGGCGGATAGGCCCAGGCAAACAACACCCATTCTCCCTCCCTCCCGCTCAGTTCAACTCCCACTCGGCCCCGGCCACGCCCTGCTGCCGCCGCCCCCTCGGGCAGCTTTCCGCTCGGCAGCCGGGCCTCGGTCGGGGGCGGGAAGAAAGGCGGTGCTTCGCGAGGGCCGCCGCGGCCGCCAGAAACTACGAGGGCCGCCATCCTTTGCGGCAGCGTCCCGCCCCCTTTCTCCCACCACTCAGCGCGCGTCACCGAGGGCTCAGCCAATGGGAACCGAGCCAGGGAAAAAGGGCGCCCGGGTCCGGATGCGCCTCAGGAAAGCCATGCTCCCTGCGCGGGGGCAGCGGGCCGTTCGCCGGGCGCTGCGGGTCGTCGGGCGCTCCGCGCGCCCTCGCCCCTCTCTCTTCCCTGGAGAGACGGCCCTACTCATGTGTTGCGTGGCCGTTGCGAGGGCTGCTGCAGGGGGTCTTTGAGGGGAGGGCGCCGGGAAATGAGTAGGGGGCGGGATATCCTGAGACAACAAGTTTGGCTGTATGGAGGGCCTGCCGGCCGCGCGCTGAGCTAGGACGCCGCGAGAAAGCGCGCAGAGGAGCCGAGGAAGGAGAAGAAAAGCAGCGAAAGGAATAACCCGAGAAAGGGGTGGAGAGGAGGCGGCCCCAGCGCCCCGGCCCCGGCAGGTCGGCGGCCAATCCGCTGGGGGAAGGGGTGGAGAGTCGGCGGCTCCGGAGGAGAGAGGCCGAGGGGGGTGGGGAGTCGGCCGGGCTCGCGCCGCCCTGGCCCCGCCCCCGGCCCGCGCCGCCGCCCGCGCCGCGCGCCGCCGCTGTCAATCAAGGGCGAGTCAGCCGGGCTCGGGCGGAGAGAGGAGCTGCTACGCCACAGCCCAGCGGCGGCCATTCGCGGAAAAAGAGGCAGAGCCTGTGCCAGCTACTGCCTCCTCCGAGCCACCGCGGGCGGGCGGGACCGGCCTCTCCTCCCGCCTCGCCCCCACCCCCACCCACCTCTATCCCAGTGTCTCCGTCTGAGGGTTTGTCCTGTTAATGCGGGATGAGCGGTACGTATTCTCCACCCCCCTCGGTCTCCTCCGCCGCCTCCCGCCCGCCGCCCGCCCGGACCCCGCTCGGTTCTCCCCTCCCCCGGGGCCGCCGAGATGCTTTAAGGGGAGGAGGAGGAGGCGGGAGGGAATCGAGGGAGGGAAGGAGGGCTGTGTTTTGTCTTAATGTCTGAGCGAGAACAACCTCCTTCTGGGTGTTGCTCTGGAGCCGATGGGTCGGGTTTCAAACCACGTTTTGTGCGATCCCCCTCCTCCCGCCCTCCCTCTCCCCCACCCCTGCCGGCGTGCGTGGAGCTCCGGTTATGGAGATGGATGTTCGGGGGAGGGGGCGCGGGAGGGGGCAGACGAATGCTAATAATCCTAATAACCTGTTGTCGGGGACGGGCGCGGGGGGCTTGTTGCAGATCAGAAGAAGGAGGAGGAGGAGGAGGCGGCGGCGGCGGCGATGGCTGCAGAAGGAGGGAAACCCTCTGAGCCCGAGAATAACAATAAAAAACCCAAAACCTCAGGCTCCCAGGTAAAAACAAACAGGAAAAAAATCCGTCACGAGACGTGAGGGGAGAGAGAGGGAGTGTGCCCTTTAAATGCCCCAAAGTGACGGCCAGAATAAAAACGTTTATCCACTCGAAAGCATCTTTCTGAGAGTGAGGAACTTAAATTGTAAATGCAAAAAGATCTCACGTGTGTGAGGGATACCGTTGCTTAAAATTACATCAGGCGCTCAGACGATTAAAAAAAATAATAACAACAACGGTGTGTATTTTCCCAAGGACATTTTGGGTTCAGGAAAATAACACTTTTAAGAAAGTTGGTTAGAAATTTCCTTTTATTTAAACTTTGTGTTACAGGGTCTGCTTCCTTACTCTTATGTCTTACTACTTTTGTTCATATTTCCTTTTGATTTCTGCACATCCTGAGTAAGTTCTGAAATGTAGAGCTGTCAAAATAAATAAATAACCCCCTCTCAACTACTGGCCTCCACTAAATCCGCCCACTTTTTTTTCCCTCCTCTCCTTTACCCACCCATTTTGGGTAGGACTCTCAGCCCTCTCCTCTGGCTTTACTGGCAGCTACTTGCAGCAAAATAGGGACTCCTGGTGAAAATCAAGCAACTGGACAACAACAAATTATTATAGATCCAAGCCAAGGATTGGTGCAACTTCAAAATCAACCACAACAGCTAGAACTGGTAACAACACAACTTGCTGGAAACGCTTGGCAACTTGTTGCCTCCACTCCTCCTGCTTCAAAAGAAAGTAACGTTTCTCAGCCAGCTTCTAGTTCGTCTAGTTCTTCCAACAGTAATAACGGGAGTGCATCTCCTACAAAAACTAAATCAGGTAATTCTTCCACCCCTGGTCAATTTCAAGTCATACAAGTACAAAATCCAAGTGGTAGTGTACAGTACCAAGTGATTCCACAGCTTCAGACAGTGGAAGGCCAGCAAATTCAAATCAATCCAACTAGTAGTTCATCTCTACAGGATTTGCAGGGTCAAATTCAACTCATTTCTGCAGGTAATAATCAAGCTATACTCACTGCTGCTAACAGGACAGCTTCTGGTAATATTCTTGCTCAAAACCTGGCAAATCAGACAGTTCCAGTCCAAATTAGACCTGGTGTTTCAATACCACTGCAATTACAGACCCTTCCTGGTACTCAGGCTCAAGTTGTAACAACTCTACCTATTAACATTGGAGGAGTGACTTTAGCTTTGCCAGTGATAAACAACGTGGCTGCTGGAGGAGGGACTGGACAGGCTGGCCAGCCTACAACAACTACTGATAGTGGGACTTCCAATGGGAGTCAGTTAGTTTCTACACCCACCACCACCACTGCTTCTGCCAGTACTATGCCGGAATCTCCCTCATCCTCCACTACGTGCACAACCACTGCTTCAACATCTCTGACGAGCAGTGACACGTTAGTGAGCTCAGCAGACACGGGCCAGTATGCAAGCACTTCAACCAGTAGTTCTGAAAGAACTATTGAAGAATCGCAAACACCTGCTGCTACTGAGTCTGAAGCCCAGAGTTCTAGTCAGCTTCAGCCCAATGGAATACAGAATGCACAGGAGCAATCAAATTCTCTTCAGCAGGTGCAAATTGTAGGCCAGCCTATCTTGCAACAGATCCAGATCCAACAGCCTCAGCAACAGATTATTCAGGCAATTCCACCACAGTCATTTCAACTCCAGTCAGGGCAGACAATTCAGGCCATCCAGCAGCAGCCTTTGCAGAATGTTCAACTTCAAGCAGTAAATCCGACTCAGGTGCTTATTAGGGCTCCAACTTTAACACCTTCAGGGCAAATCAGTTGGCAGACTGTACAGGTTCAGAATATTCAGAGTCTTTCAAATTTGCAAGTTCAGAATGCTGGGTTATCCCAACAGTTAACCATCACCCCAGTGTCTTCAAGTGGTGGCACAACTCTTGCTCAGATTGCTCCTGTGGCTGTTGCTGGTGCCCCAATAACTTTGAATACTGCCCAGCTTGCATCAGTGCCTAACCTTCAGACAGTGAGTGTTGCCAACCTGGGTGCTGCAGGTGTTCAAGTGCAAGGAGTTCCAGTTACAATCACTAGTGTTGCAGGTAAGTTCCTACAATCTTTCCTCTAAGAGCCTTTGAAATAGTTTTGAATAATGATTGATTACTGTTTTGCTTTGCTGATTCTTACTAGGTTTAACCTAGACCTCAAAAGCAAGCATCATCATTAGGAGTTTATACGGGAATAGTATGCTAAGTACCGTAACTCTGGAATGGTCAGGGTGAACCCTTCATGTTTGCGCGTTTCAGTATTGAGTTTTATGGTTTAAATTTGTTAAGACAGTTTTATATATAAAATTGTTCTTTCATGAGCAAAATTCCTGATTAGAATCATAATTGTCTTGTAATTTAGAGGCCATGTTTGAATACTCTTGAACTCAAAACTATAAAACGATGTTTGTATTTTTAAGGGACAGTAGGTTTAAAGCTTACTAAGTGTAGAATTGCAAGTTAATTGAAGGTTTTTTCCTTCTGTGTAATAAGGCTAACTTTTTCTTAAATTCAGAGTTACTTCTCATTACTTCAGCTTCTTGTTGCCTATGCTTTTATGTTTTATTGCATTGGGTTGTTTTAAGCTAGATATTGATAAAGTGAAAACTTAACATTTTAAGTTGCGAATAATCACTTGATTAATTTTCACATCTTAAGTTGCTGTAACACAAGGATTGCTCAGGATTTTGACTTGACAGGATTTTGACTTAATAGTGCTTTATAAAATTAAGTAAATCTGGTGTTTTTTTAATGTCAAGATGGTGAAAGCAATTAAAAATGAAGTTAGTAAAATGTCACTCATTTCACTTAATTGCATCAAGGTCATTTTAAAACCAATTAAAAGTTGTTGTTATAATATGCAGATAAATGGATGGTTCTGTGGCTCTGAAGTATTTGAAAAACTAGTCCTATAAAGTATTTTAACCTTTCTGCACCTGTCTTAATACCGTTTTTCTTCTAGTACTTTGATTGTTTTTCATTGGTTCTGATTGATGAAAATCTAGTGCTGGTTTTAGTGTCTTTGATACTTTCAGACCTCTTTGGATAAATATTTCTATTTTGACAGTCTGCAATGAATAAGCGTGTCATTAAAAATGACCTTTCTTGAAAAAGCGTTTAGAAAAATTATGGTAGTGTTCTTGTTTTACATTTAATACCTAAAATAGATGTATAGACTTAAAATTGGAAATGCCAAGTAGAGTCTTCTGATTCAGAACAGAGATTACATTTTTTACTCAGGTAAGCATTACCTCCAAACCAGTGCTGTCCAATAGAATCTCCTGTGATGATGGAAATACCCTGCATCCATTTTATCCAGTATGTTAACCACTAGCCACTTGGGACGGTTGAACACTTAAAATGTGGCTAGTGCAACTGAGGCACGAATTTTTAATTTGATTTGATTTTAATTTATTATTTTTATCCCTTCCCTGATTTTGATTTAATTTAAATAGCCGCATGGGACCAGTGGGTCCTGGGTCGACAACACAGTAACCTAGTCAGAGAATATTCTAAGTGTGGGTTTTTTTTTTCCCCCTCTAAAGCTGTTGCAGCACAATTTGTGTTTGTCAAGATTACATTCCTTAGCTTGCTTCTTTCCTAAATGTTGACCAATAACTTGAGTATTTCAGAAACGTGTCTGTTTTTGATGCGTGGAATGTTTGCACTGTGCAAGCGAAAGTTCTTTTACTTATATTTTGTCTTGCCTATTAAACATAAGTGAATTATGAGTAAGAAAATTAACCTATAATTTAGGTTCAAAATAGTCAATTTTGTTCTCTAATTGATGTCCATTACAATCCAGGGTTTTTTCCTTGCCCTCTTTGAGGGGAAGCCATTGTTACCAAGAGTTTGATCTTTTGAGAACTTAACACAGATTCACATGAATGGTGGCTATTACAAATGTGTAAGCTCTAACTTCTGGAACAGTAGTTTTTGGGGGGTGTGGTCAAGATATTTGCCTGTCAAACAAATTAGGTGATCCTAAATATGGAAATTTCAGAACCAAGAGTCTAGTTTTCAGCAGTGAACCTGGAGGCAAAGGTGAAAAAGATGGGTGTCAGGTGTGCATTAGAGAATGGATTCAGTGGTAAATACTACTTAAACTTTTATTTCACCGGTACTGTCCAGCTATACCTGTTGAGCCCAATAGGAATCTTTAGTCCATTTTCAGGGATAGGTTTTTTTTCTTAAGGAGTTCACGTGATCTGGGGGCACTTAATTGAGGAAATTTTAACTTTACAGTTGATTTTCCTTCCCTGAAAATGAAGATCTTAAATTGTGTTGATGTTTAAGAGTTTATTTTCTAATTAGGTACGCTCAATAATTTTAAGATAACCATGTTACAAAGACCAGAAATACACCAATTTCTGCCAATAAGCACAGTTAATCTGGGCCCAGTTGTTTGTAGCGTTTACCCTGTTGTCTAGCGTGGTAGGTTCTTGACAGAAGTTTTCTAAATTAAATTGTAGAAGGTAATGTAGAAAATAAAAATTTGGAATTGGGGACAATGCCCCAAGAGTAGTTTTAAGAGGCAAATGAAATAAATCTGTTTTCATTAATTTCTGGCGTTTTGCTTTTAAGACATTTAAGAGTATGATACCAGGTCTCTGGTATCCTCTGGAAGGGAAACAATGAGGAATAAGGACCTGTATGTCTCTTTTGTAAATGAACTCTGGAATTTCAGATCATTTACTTTGTGTCTTCATTTACTGTTTAGTACTTTTTTGCTTATTTTATATTGGTTCCTCCCTCCCCAAGAGAGTGGTATTTTTGAGTTTATGGGACAAGCTTTGCTCTAAACATCATGACAGCTATATTGCCAGGGTTTGAAAAAAAATTGCTAGTCAGCTTTGATAGAAAATAATGTCTAGCTGAAGAACATGGGTTGGGTGTGTGGTTAAAAGTTCTTCGCAGTCCATCCTCTGTTTACTCTTCAGGCTGTAGGGGAAGGATCTGATGATGTGGTTAAAAAAAAAAAAAAAAAACCATACAAGGTAAATGAAATGAAACCAATTTTTGAACCTGGTATTCTTCATACTTAATTTTATTTGAAATGACAGTGTTAGTGACAATGTAGCGGGGACCTCGTTCCTTGGCAGTATATTCAGTGTGATATGGTTCTGTGCTTTGGTCTCAGAATCCTGAGTAACTAGCATTTAATTTCTTGAAATTGTAGTAGAAACTAAATACATGTATCACCTACATACATTTTGTTTCCTTTTTTGGGATTCAGAGTTTGACTTTGACTGAAGGAAAAGAATAAATCCTATTTTAAGTTGAGAGCAACTATGTAATTGTACTGCTGGTTTAAGAACATCCTTTGTCTTACTTTGTTTTTTCATCTATCATTTTAAAAAATGCTATCTTTTTGTTTTTTTCCTCACCTCTTTTGTTTTACTAAGTGAAAGATGTTTTGGAAACAAAGATGAGGAACATGGAAGATGATTTCCTGAAAAAGAACTACTTTTTCCCCATGCTGTACTCTGATAGCTAAAGAGCCCTAGATAAAGGACTCTTCAGGGGTTAAAATCTCTCTCCTTAAAGAATTTAGAACTTACTGTAAGAACCATTGATACCTAAATCTGTAATTAACTTACAGTGGCCAGCTATTTGATTTGGTTTTGGCCCTGCTCTTGTCACCATATTGTTGAAAATGGGGACCCAACAAAATAATTGACATTTACATTTAATATTTTTTTAAGATTTATTTATACATACAAGAACTAGGGTGTAGGCCAGAGGTGTAGGGGTGAGAGGATTCACCAGAGACAGAGTGGGGAGCAGAACAGGCAGATGAACTGAAATACACTGTTGAGGGGAGCAGCAGATGAGACAAGAGAGGTCTGCTGCACCATGTGGGTCAGCTCCCTGTCCGGGGATCAAACTCATGTTGCAGTGGTTGCTGATAGCTTCATATGGTGTGTCTTTAACTCCTGTGTCACTAGGGCGGCCCATTTACATTAATTTTAAAACCTAACTTAATCCACTGGAATTGTTCTCTTATACCAGACTTTTCCCCAGAACTTCTATAAGAAGAAAACTGATAAAGTTCAATACAAACATGTTTTCCTTTGCCGTATGTCTTCTGTTAATTTGTATTTTCCTATTAGGCACCTTATAATAACATGTCATACATATATGTCACCTGTATACATGTTTATGTACAGCACATGTACATGTGCTCCTGTGTGTAGTTTTTTTTTTTTTTCTGAGCAGTTAAGCTTAATCATGTAATTTTGTTTCTCCAAAGTCATCTATTACTGTTTTAGATTGGAATTCATTATGAAGTCCTTAAAGCTTAGGCCCCATGCGAATAATTTATTTAGCCTCTGAACTACCAAATTGGTTTTACCCATTAGATGATAATATAGTATGGCCTTTAAGATCTGTTGGTGATGACTTAACAATATTGCCTATTTTTAAGTTTTTCATGGAAGATGAGAATGTACTCAATGTAAAGACCACATCACTTTTTAAAAGGGGCATTTTTGGAGAACAATTTCAGAATGGAGAAGAGGAGCAAGAGAAAATAGAATTTTAGTCATCTGCATTGCAAATCTGAGTAATACTCGAGGAATTTTGGAGCAGGCATGAAAGCAAGTTGAAGAGAAAAAAGAAAAGGAGGGAAGAGAGGAAAGGTGCTATGTATAGATTTTGTAGAAATAACAGATTTACAAAATGATAGAATTTTCATTTTGAAAGTACCTTCCAGATTATTGCTCACTAGTTGTGACCTTTTGGAATTGCTCCTGAAGTCTATTAATAAAGAATTTTTGTGTTTTAACTGTTATAAGTAAAAGCCAAAATATATAGCTCAGAGGTTCTGCTGTGATACACATTAAGTACTTGGGAACGACATAGTAAGAATCGACTGTGAATGGGGGAACCTGGCCTGGTATCAGACTGTACAGGTGTGCATGCTCTTCTACACTCTTGATCTAGGTGTGCGATAAGATTGGATGTTCATAATACTTGTCATTTTGCTGCCTGGTGAGAGAGCACATTGTGGCAAAGGAAACCTATCGAACCACAAATTGCTTATGTAAGTATGT